CTTCAGTACCCCTCTGCCAGTAAATGACAGAATAAACAGGCAGAATATCAACATGATACAAATGATCTGAAAAGCATTATCAATGAAGTTCTAATTGATATTTCTAGAATATTCTATTCAATAACATAAACAAGCTAACAATGTATCTTAAAGAACTATAGAAACAAGAGAAAACCAAACTCAAAATTAGTAGAAGAAAAATAATAAGGGTCAGAACAGAAATAAATGAAATTGAAATAAAAAAATACAAAAGATCAACAAATTTGGTTTTTTGAATAAACGAAATTGACACACCTTTAGCCAGAGACTAAGAAAAAAAGAGAAAAGATTCAAATAAATAAAGTCAGAAATTTAAAGGATCATTAGAGACTATTATGATCAGCTACATACCAATAAATTGGAAAACCTAGAAGAAATGGATAAATTCCTAGACACATACAACCTACCATGATAGAAGCAGGAAAAAATTCAATACCTGAATAAACCAATAAAAAGTAATGAGATAGAAGCAGTAACAAAAAGTCTCCTGTCAAACAAAATCCTAGGACCTGATGGCTTCATTGCTGAATTCTACCCAGCATTCAAAGAACAAATAATAGCAATCCTACTTAAAGTATTCCAAAACATTGAGGATGGGGGAATACTCTCAAACTCATTCTACAAGGCCTGCATAACCCTGATAACAAAACTAGACCAAAGCACAACAAACTAAGTAAACTATAGGCCAATATCGCTGATGAATGTTGACGCAAAAATCCTTGACAAAATACTAGTAAACTGAATTCAACAGCACATTAAAAAGATTATTCATCATGATCAAGTGAGATTCATCTCAGGGATGCAAAGGTGGCTCAACATATACAAATCAATCAGTGTGATACATAATATCAACAGAAGGAAGAACAAAAACTAGCATCATTTCAATTGATGCTGCAAATTCATTCAATAAAATTCAATGTCCCTTTATGATAAAAATTCACAAAAAAATTGGGTATAGAAAGAACTTACCTCAACAAATTAAAAGCCATATATGAAATACTCACAGTTAGTATTATGTTGAATGGCAAGAAACTAAAATTCTTTCTTCTAAGATCTGGAACAAGGCATGGATCCCCACTTTCACCACTGTTATTTGATAAAGTACTGGAAGTTCTAGCTAGAGCAATCTGATAAAAAAAGAAATAAAAGGCATCCATATTGGAAAGGAAGAAGTCAAATTATCGTTGTTTGTGGATGAAATCATCTTATAGCTAGAGAAACCTTAAGACCCCACTTATTAGAACTTATAAACAAATTCAGTAAAGTTGCAGGACACAAAATCAGCATACAAAACAATCGGTATCATTTCTATATGCTAACAGTAAACAATCTGAAAAAAAAACCAAGAAAGTAACCCCATTTTCAATAGCTACAAGTAAAAAAAAAAAAAAGAAATACCTAGGAAGAAACTTAACCAAAGAAGTGAAAGGTCTCTATAATGAAAAATATAAAACACTGATGAAAGAAATTGAAAAGGACACAAAAACATGAAAAGATATTCCATGTTCATGAACTGAAAGAATCAATATTTTAAAAATGTCCATACTACCCAAAGCCATCTATAGATTCAATGCAATCCCTATGAAAATACAATTGACATTCTTCAAAGAAATTTTAAAAAATTCTAAAATGTATATGGAAAAATGAAAGACCCACAATAACCAAAGCCATCCTGAGCAAAAAGAACAAACCTTGAGGAATCACATTACCTGACTTCAAATAATACTACAGAGCTGTAGTAACCAAAACAACATGGTACCAGCATAAAAACAGACACATAGGCCAATGGAAGAGAATAGAGAACCCACAAATAAATCCACACATTTAAAATGAACTTATTTTTGACAAAGGTGCCAAGAACATGCACTGGGGAAAGACACCGTCTTCAAAAAATGGTTCTGGGAACACTGGATATCCATATACAGACGAATGAAATTATACCCTTATCTCTTGCCATATACAAAAATCAAATAAAAATGGATTAAAGACTTAAATTTATGACCTGAAACTTTGAAACTAGTAAAATAAAACATTGGGGAAATACTTCAGGGCATTGGTCTGGGCAAGGACTTCTTGAGTAATATCCACAAAGCACAGGCAATCAAAGCAAAATTGGACAAATGGGATCACATCAAGCTAAACAACTTCTGTACAGCAAAGGAAACAATCAACAATGTCCAGAGACAACCCACAGGATGGTAGAAAATATTTGCAAACTACCCATTTGACAAGGGATTAATAACTAAAATATGTACGTAGCTCCAATAACTCAATAGAAAAAAATTAAATAATCTGATTTACCAATTGTCCAAGATTTCGAATAGACATTTCTCAAAGGAAGACATACAAATGGCTAACAGATACATGAAAAAATGTTAATCATCTTTAATCAACAGAGAATTGCAAATGAAAAATATCATCTCAACCCAGTTAAAATGGCTTTTATCAAAAGGACAGGCAGTAACAAATACTGGTGAGGATGTGAAGAAAGGGGAACCTTCATACACTGTTGATCGGAATGTAAATTAGTTCAACACTGTGGAAAAACAGCACTGAGGTTCCTCAGAACACTAAAAGTGGAACTACCGTATCATTCAGAACTCTCATTCCTAGGTATGTATCCAAAAAAGGGAGATCAGTATTTCAAAAAGATATCCACACTCCCATGTCTATTGCAGCACTATTCACAATAGCCAACATTTGGGATCAACCTAAGTGTCAATTAATAGATGAATGAATAAAGATATTGTGGTACATATACATAATGGAATATTATATAGACATAAAAAAGAATGAAATCCTGCCATTTGCAACAACATAAATGAAACTGGAGAACATCATGTTAAGTGAAATAAGCCAAGCACAGAAAGACAAATTTCACATGTTCTTACTCATGTGGGAGCTAAATATTAAAATAAAAATTGTTCATGGAGACAGAGAGTACAATGAAGGTTACCACAGGCTGAGAAGGATAGTAGGGAGGGGAGGATAAAGTAGGGATGGGTGATGGTGCAAATATATAGTTAGAGAGTTAGATAGAATGAACAATATTTGATAGTACAACAAAGTGACTATAATCAACAATAAGTTAGAATATACTTTAAAATCACTAAAAGAGTGGAATTTTAAAGTTCCTAACACAAATAAATGGTAAATGCCTGAGGTGATGGATACTCCAATTACCTTGAGTTAATTAACATTGTATACCTATAGCAAAACATCACATGTACTATGTAAATATATACAAGTGTTATGTACCTATAATATTAATAATTAAAAATAAATAATTTTAACAAGGGTAAGGTAATATATTATTGTGGTTTTAATTTGCATTTCCCTGATGATTAGTGATGTTGAGCATTTTTTCATGCTTTTTGGCCAATTGTCTATTTTCTTTTGAAAAGAAGATTCTGTTCATGTCTTTTACCCACTTTTTAATGGGGTTGTT